TGTCTCAAACCCGCCCGTGGGTTCTTGGCGGGTACCCGTGGGTTACCCAAAATACCCAAAGTTAGCATAATTTTTGCATAAATCGGATTAGTCATTGATTAATTTTCGGTAATTTAACATTGTAACATATTTCCTGCTCAAGAATGGCAACAAACTTTGTCGAAATATATATATGCTTAACCTCTCACTTCATGCGTATTACCTCTGTACTCTATAAACCGACCGAACTCCTGGTCAATGCTATGATCAAAAGTGTTTACATAATGCTAACGGCCACCTATACCTCCCATCTAAATATATACCAAAAATACACCTTTTTAATGCCCCCTTTCCCTTCATAATTGCATTCAGGTTCTCATGGGTTCTCATGGGTTTTTGGGTCCGAACGGGTTTTGGGTACCCATTCGCGCGGCGACGCGGTCTGACGCGCAAAAAATGGACATGTCTAAAACCGCAAAAGCAAAAGAAAAATGAACACCAGCAGCTGTAATAAACTACCCATCAGCCACTTTGATGATGTTTCGCCATTCACATCCTCTGGGTTATCTCAATCGCCACTATGGCTTCGTCTAGTTCAAGCTCATCAAGGTTAATGCCTCATTCATTCAGCCCTCTGCAATCAATTGAGCCATCATCAGATCCAATTCTCGAGTCAGACTTCCGCTCGTCAGTATGTTTTGATAATAGTCATGCTATTAGTATTGAATGCTAGCTAACCTATGGTAAAGCCTTTTACTAGACCCTATTTCCCTCTGGGAGATCCTCCGACAATCTTGAAGCGTATTGGCCCCGGCCGTAAAAGGAATTGGGTCTTATATGACGCGGCCTATGAAGATGATTTCTTCTCCTGGTGGTTGCACACTGAGTATGGGCGACAGTTGAATGGAGGTGGAAGGTCGAGAATCAAATGGTCGATCGGGACACGCTCAGCTGAGGTCTGGAATCACTTTCACCAGGTGGCAGAGATACATACAGGTAGACCTAAGGTGGTATGTCAGTCTTGTTTGACTTTGCTGGACCACCCACACCACAAATCCAACGGCACTAGCGCCATGGGAAGGCACCAGAAATCAAGCAGCTGCCAAAAAGGCAAGAAAAGGGCAACCCAGCAAACCCTTATCCAGGATTCAATCCAAACGGCTTCAGTGGCAACTGTGACAACTGGGTCTCCGTTTACGAAAGAACAGCTGGAGGAGCAGCTCTTAAAAACCATTACTGGCCTGCGCCTGCCTTTTCAGGTGGTGGAAGATGTTGCATTCCAGCAATTGCTAAATCTGGTCCATTCTGGATCCCCCCGCTTGGAGCTCCCATCTGCAAAAACACTCCGTCGACGATTGCGTGATGCTGTGATTGAACAACATATGTCTCAATTGAAGGACTTGCCAGAGGATGCCAAGGTATCACTTGCCTTGGACTGCTGGACCAGCCCGTTCCAACAGGCATTCATGGCGATAACAGCATATTTTATTGATAGCGGGTGGAACTACCGCGAGCTTCTTCTCGGCTTTGAACCTCTGCATGGCCCTCACTCAGGGACTAATCTGAGTGACGTGTTACTTCAGCTATTAAAGGAACGAAACCTTTTGAATCGAATATTTACCGTGACCACAGATAACGCAACCAACAATGATACTTTGATTCGAGGGCTGCAGGATGTGTTGCTTTCTACTGGCGCCATTAGCTCTCGAGACTCTATCGTTCGTGTTCCTTGCATGGCCCATGTCATCCAGCTTTGTCTCAAGCAGCTTTTGGGACATATCAGGGCAGCACCTAGAAATGAGGAAGTGGGAATATCATGGTCAGACTCTCAAGTTAGTTTTCTGCGGGACTCAGTGGAATGTGGTGATGTTGCCCATACACTTGCGAAGGTTTGACCCTCTATTACTGATTAATGAGCCGCGTTGAATCTTTCTACCTAGATCCGGTCGCTCGCAGTGTTCGTGAATGCTAGTCCTCAACGACGGGATGCATTTACCTCCCTTCAGCCTGTCCATGAGCGGCTTTTCCCGATCCAGGATGTTCAGACACGCTGGAATTCTACATTTTTAATGCTTCGACGGGCGCGGAAACTGCGGATTTGTTTTGACAGATATTGCAGTGATCACGACTACACACAGTTCAAAATCAGTGATGTTGAGTGGCGGCAGATCGACTATCTTCTCCAACTCACAAAGCCGTTCTTTCAGTTCACAATGGCCCTCATGAAAACAAAGGATATAACAATCCATAGCGTCTTCCTTGTATATAGGAAGCTCCTGGAACATATTAAGAAGTCAACCCAGAGTTTGAACAAGAAGAAGATGCCATGGAAGAGGGCGATGTATGATGCTTTACTCGCGGCAAAACAAAAGCTAAGAGACTATTATGACAAAACATACCGCGATCATGGATTCCTGTATGCCACAGGGACAATGCTCGCACCCCAATACAAACTCTCGGCTTTTGGTGACACGGAATACTCTAAATGCCATAGTGAGACCTCACGGCACTATCAGGGATACCTAAGGAAGGGCTTTCTTCAATACCAACAGCAGATTCCTGATTTGTCCTTCTGTCCTACAAGGTATCATGCCCCGCAGCAAGTATCGGAGTTAGACATGCTGCTTGGACCGTCAAGCAGCTCTTTGCCCAGCAGCGGAGACCAACAGGACGAGGTGGACCGATATCTTCAAGAAGGTGGGAAACTTTCCTGGTTTCTTTTCTCTTCATCTAGAAATTGACATAATACAGGGATTGTTCCGCTCCCGCCAAGAGCTTACTGGAAAGATCATGAACATGACTATCCTGTCCTCTCCCGTCTTGCACGCGATTTACTATCTGTGCCAGCCACTGGCGCGGGGGTTGAACGACTCTTCAACAGCGCTAGAGACATCTGCCACTATCGCCGTGGCTCTCTCAACGAAAAGACAATTCAAGACCTGATGATGTTTATGTGTTCTCAGAAGTTTACTTTGGATAATAAGCAGTTCAGCTACCGTGGAAATATACTAGCAGAGGAAGACAATCAAGTGACACGTGAAGTGGAATCTGCTCTTAAAGCAACAGAGGATGAGTTCGACCCCATCAGTGATTGTGAAGAGGATGCGGCGGAAGAGGACAACCCCCAGGCTATAGAAATAGACGAAGAGAGTGAGGTCGAGAGTGAGCCAGAGACTTCTAGGATGGGTGGGATACTAATGAATATTCCTGAAGAGCCGGAGGAAGATGTTGAACTTCCTCAACTCCCGACTCCTATTATTCAACTCAGTGAGAGATCCCAAAAGCGATCATCAGGAAGGGTTACAATGCCATCCAGCAGATTAGAAGGATATGAAATATACTAGACTCGAAAATTAGATAGAAGAGCAAATGTTATAATGTTATTTTAATTCAGGCAGAGAGAGTTTCGAGATTTGTAGTTATCCTCATCCAAATCTATATTGGGGCCAAACCAAATGAATACAAGAAGATCTGAAAAATTACCGCATAATTTAATGTATGATGACAAATAACATTTTTTTGCTTTTGTGGGTTACTTGGCAACCCATATGGGTTTTTGGGTTGGGCTAAGAAAATCAAAACCCACCCATGGGTTTGCTGACTAAGACCCAACCCAGCCCATGGGCGGGTTTTTGGCGGGTACCCATGGGCTTGGGCGGGTTTTGGCGAGGTCTAG